ATGCTTTCCATACCGTAAGGCTTATCTTGAAAAGAACAGCTTTCTGGTTCAGAGGACTGGTACCTAATACTCATCACTATTCCAACTCCATTTACTGTGCTCGGTATTTAGCGCTTGTCATTGTAACGAGCGCAGCTGAAACCCTTGCTTTTTAATTGCCAGCCTGCCAAGCAAAACACATTTATTCACATCTGATTTAAACATCACAAGCCAAATAATCAAGATGACAAAGAAGTTTAAGTACCCTGATCAGTCTGTTTTCTCTCCTAAAATATATCATTAATGATTGTAATTATTAACTCTGTTACATACTGTCTTCCTGCATGAAAGTAGCTTCTGATCCTGTCAGTCACTGCAGGTGTATGGCACAGCCAAAAACACTTATGTAAATTACTTGGATTTCCAATTATAGAGATTCACATACACCCTTAAAAATGGATGCAAGCACAAGGCAAAACCATCAGCAAGACAAATCTGGAGATATGTATACAAGCATTCAAACCTTCTGCTGCTTCTTTCTCCTCAAAAACCTTAGATTACAACAGTAAAGGCTCTGATTTAATTATGGTGCTTGTTCGCATAATGGTCTCATTTTCCTCTATAAATTTCATCCTCAAACTAGGTTGCATTCTCTGTTCTAAAATACAAAGATCCTAGTTCTAAAAAGTAACTTCCTTGTTACTAGCTGCAAGTTCAAGCAACCACATAAACAAGGAAAAAAGCGACAAACTTGAGAATAAAGAGCAAATTTTGTCACTGAATGCCCCAGGAAGCTATGCAGCCATGACAAACAACAGAGTCCTCTCTCATTCAGGACAGAAAACTCACTTAGCTGTGCAAGGGCTCAGTGATTACAGTCCAACAGTAGAATCTTGAGCTGTAACATTCAATTCCTTGGCTGATGTGGTTTTATAATAACTCACACTTTTCTGAACAAATTGAATGAAGCTTTAAATCTACAAATTCCTTTGATGGAATTAGTCTTGCATGGTCAATCCACATTGTGCCAAGAGGAGGAGTACAGTTAATCTCCAAACTTAGGAGACATTCTGCACCTTGCAAGTTATCTTTACAATTGCAAATTTTTAATTGTTATCCCATTGAGGATCTTACAGACCTTGGCTTCTGGATCACTGTTGATGCTACAGGAATCATCATCATCAGATTGTGGACCATTTCTGTTACACAAAAAAAAAAAAAAAAAGACAAAACTCAATCTTAAAATCATATAAAAATTACAGCACAGCACAAAACAGAGCTGGTCATTCCACAGAGACTTCTGAAGTCATCGTACCTGAGCTTCAAAGAGGCATAGCGTAACGTTGCTCCTTCAAACTCTTTCAGACTTGGGTCTGGGTTCACAGTGGCTGCATGCAGATCCTAGAGGTAAATGCAGTGCTATTAATATAGTATTACGTGCTATTAATACAGTATTAAGTACACCACCATGTTATTTCTTATTTCAAAGGGAAATTAAATCCTCCCTGCAAAGAAGCGATAGTATTTCTGGCTGAAGTTGAAAAGAGGCATGCATATATTCTCAAGCTGCATTTCATTCAGTGCAGGCATCTCATTCGTTACGTCATGGCAGTTGTCCTGCTAGTTTAGACTGAATCCATTCCAAGTGGAAAGATCAGAAAAGGCAGCATGTTTGTGAGCTAGACATCCCTAGCAGTACCCCCATTCACTTTGGCCTAGGTTATGAATGACATTCATGGAAAAATAAAAAGGGAAAAAAAAAAACAACAGCCACTGCCATGCAAAAAACAAGGGTAATAGTATTAAAGGTTCTAAAATCTGACAATATACTTGCCTTCCAAATGTCACTATTAATCTTTCCCCCATTCAGTACAGCAAAATCACTCCATGGCTGTTTCTAGACACATAATTATTCACACAGGAAGAAGCACATTGATAAAAAAAAAAGAAAAAGAAAAAGAAAAAAAACACAAGACACTGTTGTTAGCATTGATATTTACAGGATGGGTTAGGGAACAGATCACCTCAAACTTCAACTAATTACTCCACTATACCATGGCATTTGGAGGAAAGGGGAGAGAAGACATGCCTCTAACAGTTACTTACCAAAACAAATGATTGAAACAAGGAAAGTTAATATAAATTAGGAACAAACAATGAAATTACTCCTGAACTATGATCTTAAAAGCAAGCAAAATGAATCTGAATATGAATGTTGGCCACAGCTGCTACAGCCTTTGATAAACAGCAATTAAGTGGAAACATCAGGATTTCCATTTGATTGGTATTTTTGTTGAAAGACCCTAACACTATTGGAACTAGAAATACTGAAACACAACGATATATACAAGGATAAGATACATAAAAGGTAAAAAATAAATATTTCTAGAAAGAAAGCACAAGAAAAGGACAGTGAAGGGAAGGAGTAAGGAGTACAGAGAGACTTCTTGCTGTAAGTAGTAGTTTTGTAAAGTGTAGCACCTTTTTTAAAAAAACAGAACAAACCCAAAAAAACGACCAAACCACCCACCCACCCTCTCATCTTTCATGCAAGTTTCTCAAAATTTTCAGAAGCATTCACTGGTACAATCAAGCAAATAACAGTGCATTAGCACTACAGCAACCTGAGGTTCACCCTTCTCTGTAAAGCCTGGGAGGAGCAGCTGATGGTGGAGTTGCCCTTCTCCTCTTCCCCATGAGGACAGAAATCCCACAGTCCTGAACAAGAGCCAGGTGGGACAGGGCATTTGGTTGCTGAGAGACCCGGAGCCACCTCTTTGTGGCTTCACCAAATCAAGTGTTCTTGCAATTAGTGGCCCCTTTTAATACGAACTCGTTCAGCTCAGCACCAAGATGAAGTGGTACCTATTAATATGGCCCCATGCATGAATTTGCAGGGTGCAACTCTCACCTCAGAACTGTTCTCAGTACATCCCCACCGGAGGAATTATTTGCCAGAAACAAACTCCCCGCAGTAGCTCTTCCCTAACATGCCTTGGAATTAACTGAGTTGTTTGCCTTTCCTACTAAGTTCCTCCTCTTTAATTATGAGCTGCTAGTGGCTACCTCACCTAAAGAAGAACTTCTAGAGGTGACCCAGGCCTGGGATGACTCAGGCTATAAGACGACACAACTACCATCACAAAATTCTGCCACGATCTCAAAGCAGCTCTTATTAAAATATAAACCCTACAGGTTTCTCTCTGCACAGGAAATAGGAAAGAGGCAGCAAAATCTCTAGAATTTGGAACAGAACGTTACAGAAGACAAGGATTCACAAAGGAAGTCATTTGGCGACACACAGGAGAAAAGAGCCATCTAAAAGTAAGTCAAATTTAATCAGCTGTGCAAAACCAAAAAACATTTTCATGCTTTTGAGGGGGAGGAAGGGAAGGAATGTTCCAGGTTATTCATACTTAGCATTTATTAGTATTCCTTTTAAATCTGCAGGATTTTCACACAATGCTTAACTCATAATTGCTTTGGATTGAAATTTACTGATTATCTTGTGAAAGAAAAATAGCCTTGCAGCCAGTGCAAAAGTAAGAAATTTTCACATTTTTTCTTTTTTAAAACCCTTTTTGCCATTTGCATGCATTACAGCATCATTCCTCCCTACCCATTATTTTTCTGGTTCTCTGTTCAACAATAGTAAGTAACCGCTTTTCTTTATGCTAAATATCCAGAATAAGCTACAACATAAAACCAGCTAACTTTGTCTGTTCCTTTTTGACTGCCCTCAGCTGTGAGCCACATTCTACCAAACGAAGCAAAGCTTCTGTGTATAACATCTTTTAAGAGACAGGGACACAAAATAATTAAAAAAAAAAAAAAAAAGGAGGAAACGAGACAAAGGGTAAAAAGGCATTACTCTGGAGGACAAAAAGGTGTTTCTAAATGTTGATTTGACAAACTCAAAAGCTGAAAGAGCTCAAATAAACTCATCTCAAAACTTAGCACATGATGCTTCACAGACAAGTGGGATAAAGATAAAAGTATTTTTTATGGACTCGCAGAAGCCTATTGGAAGAGATGTGAAACGCTACCCATGCCAGTCTTCAATCCTAGACTATACTCGATCACCTGCCTAAAACCTGTATGTCCCCCAACCTTTTCAGAAGAAAGAAATACAAATTCCAGCACGTGGGAATGAGCTAAACCAGCCCTTGCAAACAAGATTATCTCGGAGCGCAGGCTTCCAAACAGCAACAAGGGAACCAGCCGTACACAGCCCACACGTGGTCCAACACGGAGCTGGAAGCTGTTCACCGCAACTGCTGCTGCCAATGGTAGCGCCAGGATAAAGACCTTTGGGAGCCACTATTCTAGGTTGAATTCCACATCTTTTGCGAAGTGTCTGATTGACCGTATCACAGACATCCAGGTTAAATCCTCCACAGGGAGGGAGAGGGGAAGCACTTGGGGTAGGCTGCAGTGCAGTGAACAGAGACAGAAACCAGTATCACCTGCAAGTGACCTGGAGATGATTAGGTGCTGGCAAGTATTGATTGCAGAGAGATGAAAACCTGAAGATTCACGATAGCTGACACTGTTAAATCTAGATTACAAATTATTTCATTACCTACCCCTATCTCTTAACCCCACACCATGGCTTATTTCCCTCTTACTGCTCTGGCGCAGGGTTCTGCTCAGAACTAGCTGAATCCCAAAGGATTCTTTCTCCAGTTCTGTCTTAATAAAGCTCAACATCTGTGATTTCAAGAAATGCAAGACTTCCTAACAGTTCTCATTATATAACTCCAGCTATGCCCCTTCTTTGTAGCAGTTTCAGAATTTGGCAGCGCACAAAGTTCTGAGCCCAATTCACACTCTCATTTTGAACCCCATTACTTTAAGTCTTCTGGTACTGTATTGCAGTGCTATCTTAATAACCACTAAGTCAAAAAAATCACTATTGTTTAAATAATGGTATGTAAGATGCCTATCAGTGAGTGCAAAATCTTTCAAATGGCAAATGTCTTCATCTATAATTGCAATTAAAATAACCATATAATACCTTACTAATACAAATTTTTGAAACTTGTTTTATTTTCTGTATCATCTTTTACACTACAGTATATGGTCTTGATGCTGCAAGAGAACTGTATATCCTTAAATCTTTGCTGGATCAAATTCCTTGCTGAATTAGAAGTGCCAAATCAAAATCTAGATGAGCCTACTACATACTCGCATACATAGCATTTTAGAATTACTCCTCAAATGTCTTATTTAATACATCTACAATGTATTAAAATCTATGTTGCTATAATTCATATATTTTGTATTCACCATGATGTTGCTAAGAATTAATGATCATTCTTATTATAAAGAACTATTCTTCATCTCATAGAATGGTTTAGGTTGGAAGGGACCTTAAAGATCACCTAGTTCCAAACCCCCTGCCACAGGCAGGGACGCCCCTCACCACACCAGGTTGCTCAAAGCCCCAGAGATGGGGCATCCACAACTTCCCTGGGCAACTTGTTCCAGTGCCTCACCACCCTCATAGTGAAAAATGTCTTCCTAGTGTCTATTCTAAAGCAAACAAAATCGTGAAAAGTTGAAGGTACATCTGGCACATTACCAGCAGGTCTGAAATTTTCATTATAAAGGCATTTTAAACAAAGGTAGAAACATATTTGAAATAAATAAACACATTTTCTCTTTGCAATTTACCAACCATACCGATTTCTGGGTTTTTGTGAAAGATATCTGTAACTTACTAACTAAAGCCTTGTTCTCCATATTTTAGAGTAAGAAAAATACTTAGTGGTGAATTATATCATTCCCAGGTACATTATAGGAATTTATATTGGAAGCAAGTGCAGCACTTTACATTCTGCATTTCTGGATTTTTATTTTCTTGTTTTCCATTTGAATTATAACAATTGCTGTTCTTTCCTCATGAACCCTCTGAGAAATAATTTCCAGCGTGCTTTTTGCACAGTACATTTCATGGGAGCTTGACTGATGCAAACCATAACTGAAATGTTGTGGTCAACTTTGCAAACCTTATGAGTAGCATTTATGAAGATGTGGGAGCAATCTTTCTAAAATAAAGAACAAGAATGTACATGCTTAAGCCTATACAGGATAAAAGTTTCAGTGTCAAGATGGTAATACATACTGAAATGTCCTTAACTCCTCTTAACTTTCATTTAAGTTATTTTGGTGCATATGTCAACAAAATCAAGAAGAAATGTCGTATCTACATACATATAAATAAAAACAAAAACAACTAAGGATTGCCTGATCCAAGACTCAAAGCTAGTACAAAGATTCCCCTTGATTTCATAAAACTGTGGACCTTCTTCTGGGAAGTTAGTGTGAAAAAGAATTCATTTGAAAACAATTTGATTTTATATTAGTATTTCATTCCATAGAAGTCGTCCCAGCATACCAAAACAAAGTGATTGAGTTTTTTGAAGAATGCTCTTCTTTCTGACAATTTATTTTATTTTTTTACTTCTATGACATCAACACCACCCCCGGATTGGTATCACATATTGCTCTTTCAGCATGTGTGGAAGAGTGCATTTCTTTCTGTTTCTAGTTAAAGACTGAGTGCAACACAGTGATCCACTTGTGCAGGTACTTTGTACTGGCAGGACGTTAAAAAGGCTTACACTTGAGCATACTTGATGTTTATTCACCAGAAACTACCCTGTAAAAGAACTAGTGTCTCACGTGAAGACTCATATGTCTTTCTGTGATAGTCCTACCAAGTAAACCGCAAAGAAAGAAGATGCAAAGAGTCCAACCAAGACTGCTATAATGTGCAAAAATTTTATGTATCCTGTATCCATATAATGCAGCAACGCTTCAGCACATGCTACAGAACTGCAGTAGTTTCATGTTCATCAGGCACTGGCTGTCTAATTTATCTGAGATATGTCTGATTTCATCCTACACATCCAAACCTTAGGATGTTTCATGAAGCACAGCCATTAGTAAATGCATATAGAAAATAGATACTTACGACATATTATCAACGAATAGCTACACTTTGGGACATTATCAGGCCCCATATTCTAAAGCTCAGTTTAGCTAATGGTTTAACCTACAAGTTCAAAAAGTTATTTCAATTTTCTTTACAGTATGCAGCCCACGAGAAGACACAGTATGTTACCTCAGTTTCTGGAGTAGGAGATGGAGTAATGGAACCAAGCGATCCTTTTCGGGAGCCCTGGAGATCCGTTGGGATGGACTCAGGACGTTGCCATTGAGTTGTTCCTGTTGGTATGTGCCAGTAGTAGATCCCAGCAATGTCATTGATTTTTTTCCAGCCAGGTGGTAAGTCTGGGTCTGTCTGAAATGAATGATCACTCCATATATCTGCTGGGAACAGGAGGAAAAAAAAAAGAAGAAAAAAAAAACCAGAAAATGAATCAACGTTCCTAAGATACAAACAGTTCTTCCATGGGTCTGCCCTGATGCAAGTGATGCACAGCTGGTACTGCTGTTTTACAGTTCCTGTGTAAATGAACACCAGAGAAACACACTGAATTACTAAGGCTCAAAGTAAGGTGACAAAGCCTGGTTTGACTTGGCCTATAAAGAGAGGAAAAAAATACACTGCTTACCAAGGAGGTGTTCTAATACGGCAGCCATCTAATACCATCAGATAAACTAGCTCTTCTAATAAGGTTTAGCTTCAAGTACATTATATCGCAGTATACAAAGTAATATTTGGAGTTTTGGTGTACTCTATCTTCTTCACCACAGCACCTTCCCTTCTCAATGCATGGTAGCAGAGCATATATTTCTGCTAATCAAAGCCAGCTTATCAAAACAGACCCCCCCACCTGCCCCCATCAAACAACCTGCACTGGGTTTACTTACAAAATCTAAAAGATTGCTTGTTCAAAATGATGAGAACAAAAGAACTGAGTTATCATTTTACACACACACCGACTGCCACAAACAAACATACTCTTCTCAATTGTTTGGTTTTATAATGGGGTAGGAAAAAATCAAAATCTCATCCACAGTGCCAACGCAGAGACGAAATACTGGTTCTACTGACAAACCTACTGACTTAGGAATGTGCCAGCAATTCATATTGTAGAGACATTCCCAGATTTACCTGGGATCATAGGTGCATATAGGAGATGTCACTGGTGGAGAGCATGCAGTGCGTTTTAGAAAGGCAGGGGCACCATGTGTGTGCAAACCAGCTGTACCTTCTGCTGGATACACGCTTTCCAGAGGCTGGGAAGGGAGCCAATGCTCTTCTAAACTTCCCAGCTAAACAGCTTTGGTGGTGTTATTATGGTACCTGCTATTAACCAGCTGCTATGGTCTGCTCCAAGGACTGTCAAACTGCAAGGAGAAGTAAGTAACCTCCCGGACTGACGTTTCCACCAGCACTTGAGCAGACGTGATGAAGGCTGACACCAGTACAGTGAAGTGAGCTACTGAGAAAAAACCCAAGAATAAAGGAAGCACCATACCAATGAGCTGTGGCTCATCTAGTCTGGCAACTTGTTTCCAGCCTTCAAAGACAGTCCTCAAAACACCTTCAGTGGACGACAGATGAATAACCTGTTGTTATGTTGCTCTTCTTAATCTCTTTTTTGAATTAAAAGTTTCTTGTTAGTCTATCCTCAAGCCTCTTACTAGGTGTTTTATCACAGTTGCTTATTTCTGAATATCTCTCATTTCTGCTACCCACATTTATGTGCGCACACACACACAAATGGCATGGTAACTTGAAATAACTCTTACACTCCATGGCACAGACCAGACTATTTCTTCCCCAGAGCCACTCAGAGTTCTTAAGTTACTGATTTACCACTTGAGGACTAATCTGAGCAAACTCTGCAGAAGTAAAACTAGACAATATCATTACACTTAAATTCAAGAATGAGCCTCACCCATGGCCCAATATCTGAAATCAGCAGCATTCATATAATCAGTTCCAGAAATTCCCAAGTATGTTAAACACTCGCCTCTAGAAGTCCCCCTAAACATAGCCTCTACTGCGTTCAAGTGTACGTAGTTCCTGACTCTGAGGTCTTACAAGTTTGAAAGCCCATTCACCTTCAACCTTGCCCATTTCTATTTTCCAACTGAACAACTGAGCTGCACTTCTCTCAACCATGTAAAAAGCAAATAAAAGCAAAACACTTTCAATAATTTGACCACATCATGCAAAAACTGACGTGCAAAGATCAAATATCTAAACATCACACTGAAGTATGTGTGGCAACATCAGCAAGTCCAGATACACATGGGTAAGTTTAAAAAACTGCTTCATAAAAGTCCAAAATATCACAATGATGTCAGTGTTCATAAAACTTGCATATTGGGCCTTTCAAAGGATGCTGGAATAAGAAAGTCATAAGATTTTATTAGACAGAGAGGCAGAGCTTCATATCAGTTCAGGTGCATACAGTGTGCAGTATTAAACAACCATACTTCAACATTGCCAGGATATGAAATGTTATTCTCTTCACTTCTGCCCTTGCTATACATATATATGCACATGCACATACATATTTAAATATACCATTAGCAAAGTGTTATGCTATGGCTGCATTAAATCACTCCTTTCAAACCAATTAACCAGAGATGCAGAGGAATCAACATACTGTTATTTATTGTTGCAATAACATGCAGTACCAAAAGGACCTAAACAGAAATGGCTTTGAAGTAAAAGCAGACAAAACTCACGGCAGAAAGAAAACTGTTAACCCAGAGACTTAAAACAACAATATTTCTGCAATATTTAGTTAGAAGAGACGAAGTTTTCTTTTGTGTGAATGAATACTTGGAGGGAAATTGCGTAAAACAGCTGGGAGCACTCTGGGATAAGAAAATATCACCTTGTGAGTAATGTTAGTTTACTTTGAAAATTTATCCATTAGCAAAAATAAATACACCAAAATATGTTTGCATATACTCAGAGATAACTTAATTAAATTTCAGATGTTTTTTTTTCCGATTAATACAGCTCAAGACAATAAAAAAGCTGCATTTTTCACACAGAAAAACTATGAATTACATCTGGGCACGAGATGCATGTTGCTGGTGTGCGGCTACTCCTTGCGCAGAGGTATTGGCCTCAGACCATCTGATAAGCGTGACTGAACAGGAGAGCACCAGATCTCACGTGTTCATACTGAAACGCCATTCCTCCTGTTATCTATGCAAACCTACTTGAAAAAAGAAATGTGTGTGCCCCTCAGCCCATTTGCAAACACACCTCAAGATTGGACAGACCGGCAGGGTTAACCTTTTCACAGGCTGTGATTTCCTACTGGCATGAACTTGAAATCCTCCCTAGTTCACTGACTGTTCTAATAGATGAAAGCACTCGGTGTGCAAGTCAAAGGTGATGAACCATTGCAAGAGATAACAGCACAAGAAAGACAAAAAACTAAGAGTCAACATACAAAATCTGACAGGAGAGATGAATGCACTTGCAGCATCAGAGATCTACTGCAGTTATTTGAATATGGAGTTACAGACAGTAAAACAATTTTCCTCTGAATTTGAAAGACGCTGTTCAGTGGCATGACATCGAGTCAAAGCATCTAATTTTTGTTGCATGGGCCAGTGTAAGAATGGTGCCTTATCAGGGCGGTGTTTGGTTCCCAGAACAAAATGTACCACACTAATATATATATCCTGTTACATTCAGGCCTTTTCAATTCCAGTCTTCTTGTAGAAGAGAAAGTGACAGCCACAGGATGGGAAGAAAAGAAGCAGGTATCTGTACATCAATCCAATTCTGTTGACATGGCATCAAAAAATTTGTATGAAACAAACCCAAGAGGAAATAGAACTGACCACATCGGACTTCTTCATCTGAAACTGAGAAAACCTCTTAGTCTGCCAGGTTTTAGAGGTAAAAACATTACAGAGAAATGGTTCCTTCTGGTCTGTGGATGAGTAAGTCCTTCATGCTTCCTCAGTGGCAGACGATTTATGGTGATCAGGCACTTTTCTCTGATACCCTCCCAGTCATCTGCAGGAAGCAAAGTTCTACCTGACATCTCCTGACCTTTTCCATGCTCTTCTTTACTGATTTATTTACGAGAGGTCCGTGTGGTTGCTCATAATGCTTCTGGGTTTGAAAGTATTATTGCTCTGATAATATGGAAAGCATGACTTACTACAGCAATTTATAGCATGATTCACAAAAAGAACGTATCCTTTTGTATTGGGGTTGGCTTACCTACCACGTGTATTACAGTAAACCATGACCTCCTGAAAGGCTATACTGTAAGACATTTCTTACATAAAATGCATAAAGCAACAGGAGTAAGAAAAACAACACTGAACTAGAATAAAAAAGCCACTGTAGGTAAGCTGTATGAGAAAGCAGACAAGAGGTTTCTTTAAGAACCTTGGATATGTATTATCTGTAGAACTTTTCCTTCTACAGCAAGAAATAGTCAAATTCTTATCAGTGGAAAGACTATCTCAGGATGTAAGCAATTCAAAACTCTGCACAGGAATGAGGTATATCTTCACACAGGCATCATGCAGACTCACACAGCACTGCAGACCTTTGAAAGGCACCGCTTTTTCTGGAGAAAGACCTTACTGAACAGGGTGGCTCTGCTGCCTGCGTACACTCTGGAGATGAAGTCTGAAGTCAGCGCTCACCACAGGAGACCGGACAGTCAGCTTGCAGCTGATCCTTCACCTCGCTTTCCATCCCTGTCTGAACACGGGGTGCATGAGCCGTCATTAGCAAGGCAGGTCGGCTCTCATCCCAGATCTGCCCACACTGGCATGGACATGCCGGTGAGTCCTCATCGGCAAGCTGCTACCTGGAAATCTGCCTAAGATAAGTGTGAGCTGTCACCACCCGACTTCTGAAACACAGAGCTGCCAGCTTAAAGGTCAACACAGTTAGAAGTTCACAGCTGGTCTTCTGCAGACAGAGTCACATGAAAGGACAGGTTGCAAAGAGAGGACTGATATTTTTCAGTTGGAGTTTTGTCTCACTGAAGACAGATGATTAAAGTCTTGTCGATACAGTGGAAGATCCCCAAACTGGCTGGCTATTCGTGGGGACATTATTATGGAAGAAGCATGGGCCAATTCTGGTGAAAAAAACATTACAGTGAGAGAGATGTAGAAGATTTTGAGGACTAAAATGGAAGTTTACATAAAAATGTGAAAGATGTGATTTAAGACAAAAAGTTGACTTCATCTAAGGAAAACTGAAAAACACAAAACGGACTTCACTGGGCTTTCCTGCATCTACCACCTTCCTGCACCAGGACCTGACCAGTCCCTCGGGAAACCAGATCTTAAAGTTGCTTAGAGTTGGTGCCACAGTCCCATCTTATGTGGTCCAACATGACAGGGAACAGGGCTGC